TACTAGAAGATATTTTAAACGTACCCATCCTACAAAAAGCAACTACGTGAAAGTTTTGCAACAAGTGGTTGTGGGGCAATGATTTTCCAAAACAATGACTTGAATTTTGCGCGGGAGGTTAAAATGCCATGTTTTTTGTGACCGTCACATTTACAATTACGTTTCTTGAAGATTTTCTTTTCTTCTTTTTTGTTATGTTTTGTTGTTTTTTTGCAAAACATTGCATCAATTAAGTCTTTTAATTTCCTCCCCAGCTACATTCCAGAATTTTCTTCTTGTGTCTTCTGGCTTTCTTCCCCAAAAGAAAAAAAATCACCGATGAAAAAATAGCGATTCCAATGTGCGAACGAAATTAAGGAAAACGTGATGTGGCCAACTGACTGCGATCCTGAACGACTTTTCAAATTTGACACCGTATGGACAGGAGGCAGATTAGAAGCTGAGAAAAGTTGGTCAGTAAGATGCCGAGTAGAATGCTTTGACGTGGACTAAGGCCTTACTTCCCAAGGTAGACTACATTTTTCTTTTTTCTTTTTTTTAAGTTAATCGTACATGGCTGGCTGATTTTGACATTGACTTTTAAATATATGAACACTTTCAGTTACGGTAGTAAGCGTATGTAAAATGAAACACTTCGGTGAAAGAAAAAAACAAGGAAGTAATAATAAGTTTTCTATTTTAGACTAGATTTGAACCTGGTAGACGTAGGTATGATTTCTCTTTTTCTGACTTTTACCTTTATTTTACCTCTTAACCCGTTTAAATTAAACATATCGTTATCATTACCAGGTACGGGAAATTTTCCTGTGCCGATGGCGGGAAAATGAATATTAGCTCGAGCTTCGAGGGCCATCCCCTTATACTTTGCTTCTCCTTCGAGACGTCCTCAAAAAGGAGTGTGCCGAGGAGGTTTGAGAAATTTATCCACAATCGACGAACGTGCGGACTCAAAACTCGCTTTTAACTCGACCTTGTGTCACATTCCATTCGAGAGGTCATGAGGTTAAATGCCTACATCCTACTTTTCCTTCATAAAGTGGGTCGATAGATATAAAACTTTAAGATCTTACTAAGCCTTTTAGAGTTGTGTAATATCGATCCTCTTATATGGAAGTGAATTTGGGCACCTCGAGATGGTGTATTGGTTAGCAAGCTTGTCTTGCTAGAACAATTACGACTGAGTAGTGAGTTCGATCCTCACTGGGTGCCTCATACTTTCGGCCTTGTACCACATCTAAGCTACGATTGGAAAAATCGTTATGGCAGTGAATGTAATATGAAGAAGAGACTTGAGGAAACAGAAATGTGATTCTACAGAAGGATTCTGAGAATACACTTATCATGTGAGAAACAACGAAGTTCTAGAGAAAATGGAAACAAAAAGGACCTTGTCTCTAGATCTGAGATGAGTTATTGTAACCACTGACACTATTTATATTGTTGGGACTATTGTCTTCATCTCTGAGAAAAATAGTCCGAACAATGTAAATGGTGTAAATGAAAAAGACACTAAGAATCAGAAAGTGTCAATTGATTTTTTCTTTACATAATGAGGAAAGAGAGCTTGGAAAATTTGACACCCACATAACAGGTTGAAGACAAGAGGGACAGAAGAAAGCATCAAATAACCTACCTAACGAGTTTGGTTGGCAGGATAAGTATTAGGAGAGGAAAGCAAAAAGGCAAATATTGCTAACAGCTACAAGGTACAGGAAGTTGTGGAGGACCATAATCAACTTCGTTCTGAAGGGACACGGCATAAAAGAAGTACTAGGCATTAAAAAATATGATCATTTTTTGGGGGGTGGGTAATTAATGTTGGAAGGCTTACATTAAATCTATTCATTATGATTTTTGTATAAGATTTACCGTATATACTCGTGCATAAGTCGACTTCATGTATAGTGAGAATTTTTGCGTGAATTTTAATCTCTCCAGAAAAAATGTAACTAGTCACCGATTTTCTAACTTCTTTCTAAATTACATGTCTGTAGTGCGATCCACTATATTTTACGTTAAAAATAATGATCACAAAAACTTGCACTGTGTCTCCCAGCCAAGTCGCCCTATGGTATCCCTGACCAGTTACGAGTGTCATTGTCATGGCGGACCCATACACCCTTGTGATTAACCAATGCTGGTTCCTCTTGCTTCAATGCCTGTTGCACACGTTCCAACTGCTGCGATGTACAAGTAGCAGATCATAGTACACCAATTGTCGACCCGTTCATCAGATACAGATCATGATCTTGTATGAGTGTAGAGGTGGCCTTGTGATGCACCGGGTCCCGTGGTGACAACCAATGTCTGGCATGCTTCGGAGTGACATACAGGACACAGTTTTCGTCAGTGTTGAGCACTCGATCAAATATGGGTAAGTTGCGGTTCCGAAAAAGCAATGGGAAACAGTCTGCTACCCGTTGTTACTTGTTGGCTTATCGCAGTGTGTGGGGTACCGTCTTTTCCAACTTGCATGCTTTCCCTGTGTGGTGCCTTGTGCCACATGATGCGCACGTGGGAGTGGTGACTAAATATAGTCAGTCGTTCAAGTCCTGACCTGCTGTTTCGGTTGAACTCTCTGCCTTCGGGCGGGGAGGAACCCGAGGGAGGCTACACCTTAGAGCGGATTCTCTTTCGGGGAGGTAAACTGACCCTGAAACCGTTTATACGGGTTCAAAGGGCATATTTTTGGCCGAGCCCACGGGCTCGGAGACCCCACGTCAAACCGGCCTTGTGCCATATGATGCCCACGTGGGGGGTAACTAAATATAGTCAGTAGTTCAAGTCAGTAGTTCAAGTCGAGTCGAGTAAGAGGCAGTCCGAAACAGAGTAGCGTTCAGACAATTACTGCAAGACATTGGAATAGTGATACTCGTCGAGACTACATTATTCTCTCTACTAAACCTGATTGTTCATACTAACACTTCTACTTCTCTGTATAAATTCCCGTTTGTAATATATCTGTGTTATTCCATACGTGTGTTCGAGTTCTTCTTTATTGGTTCTAACTTGGACTATCACCGTGGTACAAGGAATCGGACCATAACAGAACCGAACCCGTTAATTTTGTCCACCGGGGTAGGCTGTTCTAGTTTCATGTGCATTGCATCTTCCGGGTGTCTCAGTGCCATGTCTCGGAAGAGGCATGGCACGGGGAACTAGAACAATTTCCCCCGATGGATGAAATAAAATTTTTCGGTTCCAAATTCCAATCACCTGAAGAAGGCCGGGCCGTACAACGGCGAAACGTTGTGAATATGGCAATGAAGATGAGGGTAACAGTCCGAATAATGTAAATAAACATAATACCTCATCTCAGAGATATAGACAGTCATGTTTTACTGTTGAAAACCTGGAAGGGATTTTCAGTGATCAAAAATTATTCCCAGCGCTGCGAATAGAATATTATAATTTAAATGTATTACTAAAGTTTTTACTATAGAAATGCATTGAATAACAGACAGGAAAGGATGGTCAATGGTTAGGAATTAATGTAAGTATTACTGATACAAAATAGTGTTATAATATGTGTAATATAAATTCATTTTTAATGGCTTTAATATAGAATGCACTGTAAAAAGCAGGAACGGATTGTCATTGGTTAAAATTAATTTCAAGCGTTACCAATAGAATAAGGTTATTATATGTCATTTTTAAATAGATGTTTTTATCCGACATTATTTCTTATTACAGTAGACTTTTTTTTTTCAATTTATATCCTTGTCTGTTATTTCTCAAACAGTGAAATTAATGTCAATCGGCTAAGATTGAGAAGTCCTACTGAAGAAAAATGTGCCTCTCGACAGAAATCGAACCCGTGATGGATTTGATTGGTTATTTTTTTTATGGCATATCAACCTCGGTGGGTCATTTAATGCCAACAAAATTTTGAAATAGATTCATAGCGATAGATTGGTAAAAAAAAAATGTGTGCATATATATATATATATATATATATATATATATATATATATATAAACCATTTTTCAATCACTCATACTTTTGAGTACAATCCATCTTCTTTTAGAAAATTTACAATCTTGGATGGTTTTATATTTGTAAAAAGTTTTTTTTTTTTAATTATTCACTTGGTAATATTTTGTTCGCACTAGATCAAAATCTACAAACTCTAACATTACATGTTTCACTGTAAATTTCTCTTAGCATGTAGTGCATATTGTGGATTCTGTTCCCTCTAGTAAATAATGGTGGGTGATGTAGGTGTGGCCTATATGAAGGCGGGTCAGCACGACCTGTTCTTTTCTAATTTTGTATTCTGAGTTCCATTCTCCAATAGTGGGTTTAATGTTTTGGAGTTTGTTATTAATGAATGTATTCCAAAGATGTTGCCATTTTTTAATGATAATTTTCTTTACAACCGTCTTATAATCGGTGTATGGAGCCTTTGTGTTTGTTATTGCTACCTGTGATAGAGAAAGGAATACAGGCTTAAACCCCGTTGGGAGGCTTATTTTCTTTTAGTAACTCTTCGATCTTGGCCAGTTGATATTAATTTGATTGTTTAAAAAAATGAAAATATGGGTGTCAAATTAAATACGTCCCACACTAGCATAACTCTATTATATGTATAATGTAAATGCATTAGTAATGAAATACGTATTGAGTAGCAGAAATGAGGGGATTGTCAATGGTCATAAATTAATAGGACTATAATATGTGTGGTGTAAATGCATTGATAATGGTTTTAATATCGAAAATCGCAATGAAAAAATCTCAATATCCAGAATTAGGCTATTGTATTTATAATTTTTATTCATTTAATTAGTAATTGTTTCTTTGGTATATTTCCCCTTTGTGGATAAAACAGACAAGTGACTTTTAAAACATTTACCTTGTATAGTTAATTAATATATTCATTTCTGTTTCCTTTTTTTTTTCTTTTTTTTTTTTTACAGAAATATGAGAATGAAAAAAAACAGCCAAAAGACGGAATAAGATAGCGAAAAATTACACGAAAAACAGCAACCCCAAAAACCGAAATGGAAAACAAAGACAAAACAACTTCTTCTTTCAAACGGATGATGAACAGTTTCCGGAAGTCGCTGGTTTTTTCTCGTTCCTCCAGTCGGCAGTCAAAATCTTCGTCAACTTCGTCTTGTGGTCAACAGGAACCAGAAGTGGATCTCGAGCAGAAATCCCTAAAAGAGGGCCCAGTTCCGTACCAATCTGTTTACTCTTCAAATGAAGTGCAACCCGGTTGCCCTTTACACAAGAAACAACAAGAGACTGCTTTCTGTACCGAATGTGAGACCTTCGCCTGTAGTCAATGTCAAGATGAGTTTCAACACGCACAATGTGGTTCGCTTTTAACTCTGGACAATGCCTACACATCCCACTTTGTGCAGATGCGCATCAGCAAGGTTAAAAACTTTCGCGTGCGAGTTATGAAGATTAGGATGGAATTGTATGACTACGTAGCTCATCTGGAAGTCGCCCGCCGTCAGCATTGGCGAGATGCATGGACGGCAAGGCGTATGATTCTTGACATGGCTTCCCAGATGATTTCTTCTGTGGAAGACAAACGTGATTCTTTGCTTGAAGAACTGAATTACTGCGAGGAAAGTCTGAACGAATGCCTAGACTATTATCTGAACGAGTCGAAAGCCTTGCTTAAGCATCAGTCCCGGGTTTTGTTCGAAATCGACCAATTTCTATCGACCCCTTTCAGCAAAAGCTTCATGAAGCAATATGAGAATCATGTAAAAAATCATAGTCAGGTTCTCAAAGTTTACTTAAATTCTGTGGAATGCGTCTGCGCGGTCAATACCATTATCCGCTTCACGCCGGATAAATCGTTTTCATACGCCATGAATAGTTTCGAGACCGTTAATTTGGGAACTGTGTATGCACAACCGCTCCCGGGACTCGACGAAAACGCAGCAATGAAAAGGTGGTTTACTCATTTCTCTAACATTGGAAATTTCTCCCTTTATTTACACCCACCGCCGATCATCCCACGATTGCTTTCCAACGTCCTCTCGCGAGGGAAGTCGGAATCGTCATATCTTCGAGACGTAATCGCTTTACCCGATGATCAGTACGTCGTAATCGACGGAGGGGAAGCGATCAGTCGTTACTCGGCGGACGGATTCAGTACAGGGAAAATACTGTTGGCGACAGAGGACAAAGATTCTTCCGCCTTAGACCAATCGGTAACCGTAGACACAAATCAAATCGATATCCGTGCCTGCTGTGGATGTCGATGGTCAAAAGATCGTCTCGCCCTTACTTTACCGAACGGGGAGATTCGAATTGTGAATATGGCCAGTGACATGTCCATCGAGTCGAAAGGAAAATTAAAGAAAAAATACTGGGGAGTGGCAAAAGTGAATGAACGGACGTTAGCCTGTGTAGCATGTGTATCCGCGACGATAGATCTGATACGAGTGGATGGGGAATCCTTTCGAGTAGCCAAAACTCTACACTGTCAGTTCGGACCAAATACAACACGGGCACGGTATTTAGCCATAACCCCCGATCTCTGTCTGGTTGTAACAGACGGTGACATCGTGCAATGTTTGGATTTCCAGGGTAATACAAAATTTTTGATTGATAGTATAGCGCATCCGGCGGGGGTCACAGCTGATGCGACCTATATTTATGTTTGTGATCGGGATTTGTCTCGAATCTTTCGGTTGACGACAAAAGGGGAAGTGGACTGCGTTCTTCTCACAAAGGACGATGGCTTATCAAATCCAGAAGCCATTGATGTCACGAACAATGGGCGGCTACTTGTTACAAAATGGCGTGGTGGCAGAATAATGACTTTTACTTTAAGTGAAATAATGGTGTGACATAATGTTTTGCAGCCTGTTGGCCACATTTTCTAGATTTTAAGAATGGTGAATATTTATGTTATAATTTTTCTTTGTCTTTACATCTATAAATTTAGAACGATTTTTGTATAACATAATACAGCACAAGGCAGGTAGATATCACATACGTAAATCGTTCTGGACAGCAAAGACCTAGATCTGTAGATTGGAAGTTTTGAGGAGCGTGGGACCACCTCTTAATTACTGTTATTCCCAGGTCTACCCTGAATCGAGGTGGTAATACCTGTTAATGAGCAAATAGTCAACCCCCAAATAATAATAAAAATCAACAGAACATTTTTATAGTAAAATTACCAACAGTACATTTTTATAGTAAAATTACCAACAATACATTTTAAATAAATTACCAACACAACACTTTATCATTTGCAAACTATATATCTAAAAAACTTACGTTTGCCTTGAAAGTATAAAATTATGCACAAAATATATGTAGTTGAAGACTTAAAATTGCGTTCAATATATATATATATATATATATATATTCCTCGAGTCATAAAATTGTGCACAAAATATTTAGATTTGGGCGTTAAATAACCCATAGAAGTTGATATGCTGCTAAACAAAATCAACAAACCAACCATAGGTAAATGGGCTAGTTACAAATAAATCAGATATGATTTAAAAAGCACGGTCTCTCTCTCTCTCTCTCTCTCTCTCTCTTTCTCTTTCTCTCTCCCCTCTTGGAGTGCAGTCAGTCTAGTCTGAATTAAGAATCCTGAAGACAAGGCTAACCACTCCACTATATTTCCCAAGAATTCATAGCAGTTCCTAGATCATAAAGAAAAGTAATCTCTGGAGGGCCATGAAAGGACATAGCATAATTTCTCCTTGCTCCAACAAGAGACTATGGGTTGACAGTCTAGCATTGGATGACATTCTGTCGGAGAATATGATTTTGAATTCAAAGCATGAAAAAGACAACGGCAAACCGATCGATTATCGTTCCCAATAAGCCATGCCAATTCACAGATAATACAGAAAAATCTGTAAAGAAGAGCAACGTCCTGAAGTGGACATCACATTAAAAAAAAATTAAAATATCCTGTTACAATTCTTATTAAGTCATAGCGGTTAACTTTCTTTGACATTATGGTTGCTGAATATTTTTTTTTTTTCACAAATAAAACACCGGTTTAAGCCAGCTGTGCAAGTGAAGATGGCGCGATCAAGCAAATTGAGAACACACGGCACTTCATTTTAATTTATGACATTTTAGACAATCCGATATCCACCGGAAAAGAAGGATGTTATTTTGATTATAACACGGTAGCAAGCCGCAAGAAATCGCTTCGCTAGTCATGTGTGACCCGTGTGTCGGATAACACTGGTAATGGTCTGAAAATGTCTTAAAGCATAGATACCATAAAGTGTTGATATCTAAATTAAAATTAAATAAAACTGTTTCATGACAGAAGGTACATTTTCTTTTGTACTATTCTCATTCTCTAAGTCAGTTGACACTAATTTCACTGTTAAAAATAGTGATTTTCACTTAAATAATAAAAAATTAAAATTTCAAACACGCTGTGTTGTATATTAATATTTATTTATATTATTTAAATTAGGTTCTTCGACTAGTTTCGCCCAACAAAGCCATCATCAGGAGAAAAATTCCTGTTTGTTAATAGCAGTGGATTACAGGAGTGAATGAGTGTCTCTGCAGAAAGTGAACTTCGCTGTCAGTTTTCATTTGTTTTATCGTTAATTTTTGGCCAGTCCTTGTATTGGTCAAAAGGCCTCTTTCAAGTTCTTTTAAGGAGAGGCTGGAAGATTTATCAGTCTCAGATTTACCTCTTTAGTCATTCTGACAGCTTTCTTGTTGCTGGGAAGGTGATGTGTGAGTTATTATTTATCTTTTATTTTGCGGGGTGAGGGATGTGTGTATGTGGGAAACCTCAACACGACTGCAAATATGTTTGTCTAGCATGATTGAGAAATATGGGTGGGGGTTAATCTACGGTATTATATATTAATTCTATCTGTGCTGTTCAGTTTGTTGTTAAGTCCGTCCTGGAAAATGTTTTGAGGCGCAAAATCCATTTGTCTTCACGTTCTTCTAGTATTTTTCTAAGTTTATCTTTTGTGTCTATTTCTACTCTTTTAATAATAGTGAAATTTGAGTGGCTATTAAAATCATGTTCTTTTAGGCGGAAATGTTGTTCTTCAGACAATAATCTTTCGTGGGGATCCGACTTGATCCAATTCCGATAATTATTAATTCTGTAGTGAAAAGGCCATTCAGATTTTCCTACATATTGTTTCTGGTATAGTGTGTATTCTAATAAGTAAATTATTTTATGACTTCTACAGTTAGAGTTGTGTTAGTGAGTGAGCTAGTGAACGAATTGGTATGTTTAATGTGGTTACAACACACACACACACATATATATATATATATATATATATATATATATATATATATATATATATATATATATTTTGATAATTGTATATTTAGGCAGAAATCCTTCATTTATGCACGTTTCATTAAAAACGACTGACAAGGTACTACGATTAAGCGTTTTATTTAATATTTATTGTGTTCAAAAAATGCTGTTCTAATATTCTATAATTCCGAGCGCTTTCGTCTCTACCTTTAACCATTATCAAGGATGATATTATTTTTCCGTTTAATTGTGTGTGTGATGTGTATGCATTATTTTCCGTACATGGTTAGCACATTGTGGCCTTGTCCGTAGTTAATATTTGTAAGTGTTGACATTTTCTTTTTTATTATTAGGGCTTTCATTATTTTTAATCTTTTTTGTTTTTGCAGATGGATGAGGTTATGATTTTCCCGCACCTTCCTTAATAATGTTTTTCTTATTCTTTCAAAATCAGTAACCCCTTGCGTCTTGTAATATATATATATATATATATATATATATATATATATATATATATATATATTGATGCTTGTTTCATTACATAATATAGATATGTTTTGTCTATTTTAAGTAAATTCCTTTCATATTGTCTGAATCATTGAAAGACGAAAAAAAATCACCATACTGATACATGTTTTTTCAATCCTATCTAAGGTTTCGGCTTACATTAAGCCATTATCAAAGATGACATTTACATTTCAATATATTAAATAATACACGGAAAAAACAATAATGATAGTCTGTTTTTGTTACATGGAAGATTTCCAAGCAACGACAAACTCGTGTATACGAGACGCAGAAGCGAAAATCGCACCGCAGCTCGTGACGTTACACATGACCACGCCAGAGTAAAAACGAGAAGTATTAAGTATTGGAAGTCGTTGGTATATATATATATATATATATATATATATATATATATATATATTAGAACGCAAGAGTTTGTATACATTTCTTTCTGTATATGTAAAGGTCGGCTGGAAAGTTCATAGTCTCACCAAGATATAACAGTAGACAAACCAATTGGTAGACTAAACTGATATGCATGTGTACCAGAATACAATAGATGGCCGCCGTCCAGCTGTTCTATTCTGGTACACTTGCAAGTCTTTTAGTTATGTACCTCCATGTGGTCTCGTAAAAAACAGCTTATCATGAAGAAAAAAAGCCCCAAACTCAATAAAAACAAAGTTTTCTCATCAAAATGCTTATGTTATTATTACGAGGAAAGACCAAAGTATTTTTTTTAATTATTTTTTGAAATTTTTTACTTCTTTGTAATAGATTGTATATTTTGGTTAAAAATCTTGGTTTTTTTTGGGGGGGATGGGGTTACGTCTGCGGCGGACCAAAGATAAAGTTTACTTTTTTTTGCTTTGCTTCTTTTTTTTACGGTGAAAAACATTGATTTGGAAATTCTTGCAAAATTCAAATAATTGTTGGATTTTAATGAAACTTTCAGGACATATTCAGAAATGAATGAAATTATTTTTGAAAATTTTTTAGAAAATCTTGGTAAAAAAATATATATTTACATATAATGCCACCCAATTACATAATTTCATGAAATTTCGTGAAATCAAATTTTTAAGCGGGCGATTTTTTTATTAGTCAAAAACAGAACTCTTTGAAGAAAGTAAATCATAATTTTTTTTTTTTTTTTTTTTTGTAAAACAGTTGCCCGTTTCATGGAAAATCTGCTCTGAATTGTAAAATAAAAAATGCAATAAGACTATGACATCATTTAATTAGAAAAGCTTTTAATGGCTTTTATAAATAAGTTATCTTAATGACACTATTGTCTGAAGAAATAATTTTTTTTCGATGAATAATGAAGTTTTACAAGAATTTTTTCATTTTTTTTTAAATTTTAATTATATTAATATAATAGTTCAAAAATCGTTTAAAATTCTTCATTGCTTTAAAGAATGCAATTTGGTGATATTGTTAAGTGAAAAGTAAATTTACGAATCAAAATTTGAAAAGTTCATAACAGTCGTTTGTACCCGAATATTTTTAAAATAATTTTAAAAATAATTCTTAGCGAAAAAAAACGTTCCTAATTTCTACTTATTGGAATCTATACATGATATAATCCTTAAAAAGGTCACGTGATTTAAGTGTCGTCTGACGCACAGTAATTATTTCACATTTAATTCAGTTCTGTTTCATCATTAACGTCTTTGCAAATCATCCCTTCAAAATATAAAAAAATAAGTTTTACTATTCTTAATTGTTATTTCACTAAATATGTTGACTTTATGTATTTATTTTAGTTTGGTTCATACTTCAATTAATTAATTTTTTGTTTAAGTTAGTAAACTTAAGAACCTAGAGACGAAATTCAAATTTCATAAAGCCTCTTAAAAACCTAACTAAATGTCAATAAAATTAAATAATTGCTGAAAATATGTTAATTTGTAAAAATTGCTAGATAGTTAAAAACTTTTTAAAAAATGCATTCACTAAATTTTCGTAAATTTGTCATTTCTGGTCATCCTTAAAAGAAAGAGGGGGTCCCATCGTTAAGAAACGCTTGTATATTTTTATACTATAAGTAAGTAATATTTATTTCAAATCAGATTAATTTAACTTTAAATTTTCTAATTTTACTCACAAATCTATAATTTCATTTTGAAAGAATTTTAAACCCGTTAAATTTGTTTATAAATTTCTTAAAATTAAGAAAATGGCCGCTTTTCAAAGATTTTTTTTTTTTAAATCGAGCAATTATTTGACATTCCAATGTATATAATTTTTCTCTGAAATACACCGGAAATTTAATCATTTACCTTTCAATTAAAACTCGAATTAAATCTTTTTCATTTTTAAAATTTAATTTTAAAACTTAGGTATCGAAAATTCAGTGGAGGTACCTATTTTAGTCTGTCAACTGGTATGTCTTCTTACATTTATATATAGGTCAGCCTATAAACTTTACAACCGAACCTTATATATTCATGATTCATGAATTTATAAATTATAATTTGCACCTTTAATTGAAATTAAAATAACTGATCCAACGTGCAACTTTCGGATAATAAGTGTGGCATTACTGTAATTATTGAACAATATAGTTCATGCCACATTGACAGAAAATCTACCAGTAAAAAAGAATTCTCTTTTGTACAAAAACGCACAAACTTAAAATTTAAATTCAAACTCAGCGTTGCGACCGCACGTTCCAAAACAATAACACATTTCTCATAGCATTTTTTCGGATTACATCTCCATTTTCGTTGTCCTCTTATTACCGAGAAGTAAAAACAAGAACAAAATCTACTTCCATACCTGAGGATGTCTGTAGGAACAGACGAAAGCTTGTAAAAAATTAAAAAGAGCTTATGCAACTGGAATTTTTAAACAGGGATCATATCATTCATATACAGGTTCGGGGTTGGTGTATCTTATTTATATTGTTTGCGAAGATGTATTCTCGCCATTTAAATCATTAACCTCTATATTTGTTTTTTGTATGAATGATTCATGAATTTATAAAATATATATATATATAATATATATAATCAGCAGGATTCATTGCAAATCCCTATACTTGGACAAAGTTCTTTTTTTAATCTTTCCATGACAGTGAGATTTTCTGTCATGGCTTATCAGATAATCGTTGAATTTCATCTTTGTCCCTTCCGTATCATTTATTTCTGCTGCTTTTTCTCTCCGTTAGGCACTAATCAACTAAGCTTTTCTTACATTTGCTATCCTTCCTTCCTTCTTTCTTTCTTTCTGTTATGTTTACTTCGATTTTTATTGCATAATTCTATGATATCACTTACCATTGTCTATTCTCTGATTTTCATGTATCTCTTCTTACCGTCATACATTCCAGTTTATTTTGTATAATTCTATGTTTGTTTTCTATCAAATTTCTTAATCACCAAGTTTCACACTTTTTATAATAATGTTGGCATTATACATTCACGTTTTAAGCATATTGGTAAAATGTTTTTCATTATCTATTTTTATTAAATAATTTCCAACCAAATGTTTACATAGTTGTTTTATTCCATTTTCATGTTCACCTTTAATGTTAACAATTGATATATGTATTCCTGTACATCTTCCAGGTCCTCAACATTTTGTCCGCTAAAAATTTAAATACAAATTGTTCAATGCCTGAGTAATTTTGGCTAACGTTAGACATTATGAAAGATTTTTGTTTTTTGTGCTATGTCAGTTTATTCATTTTTAAATATCACGTTTTCAAGTCTCTCTCTCTCTCTCTCTCTCTATCTATCTATCTATCTATCTATCATCATTATTATTTTTATTTTCTTTGATTTCTGGCGTTTAAACATTTCTTTCCGGGTCCCGCCAAGGAACTTAGGTTAGAAATGGCATCACTGAAAAAAAAAATTACAAAGATAAAGCCCTTCGTAAAGTGTGGGCTGTACTTGTCAGAACAGTTTTTTGTATCTCCTTGAGGCATGGACTTCCAGGGATCCCTTCAATTAGTCTACTGCAATCTTTTCCAACCAGTCTTAGGGCTCCAACTACAACAGGGATTGTTGATGTTCCCATATCCCACATTTTCGAGATTTCCTTGTATTTTGACAACTTTTTGAATATCTTCAAAGATACATTGCAGTCAGCAGGAACTGCCATATCAACAAGGAGGCGCCGTTTTTGTTTGTGGTCTTTAATAACAATATCTGGGCGGTTGGCTTATTATTATTATTGTTAATAGAAATCTTATAAGTATAAGAAACTATACTCGCTCGGAAAACCTTTGGTGTCTTGATTTGCAAATAAACAAGCCAATACCGAAGGGAAAAAAAGGTATATAAAAAAGAAAGAACCAAGAACATGTACGTTAACCGAAAATAATCGTTTAGCATGCAAGTCCAAGAAAAAAAAAAACCCGATGCGAGTACGCAAAATAACTAAATAAAGTGCTCACTACAATGAGTAGAACAGACCTAGTTAAACCTAGAGAGCTAGAACGGAATATATAGTCAATAAACACCCTTTTTTTGTTTATTGACTATATATTCCGTTCTCTCTTTACCTTTTTAGCCATCCTTCCCTGACGATCCGCTTAGGTGAAACATTGGTAGGTTTGTCTAGCTCTCTAGGTTTAAGTATATATATATATATATTCGCCTGAAGATTGTGAGACAGCCGCCTGACAAGGTGCCCACATGATACTTCAAGTAGCGGAAAGGCAGTAATATCTGAGCACTTTTTCTTTGTTTATTTATAATATATATATATATATATATATATATATATATATATATAAAGACTATTTAAGCAAAAATCAGTTGACCAGTGTAATTTTGGAAGATAACGTATTTAAGGAAAGCTTTAGTTGCGATTACGGTGCTCAATATCATGAGATAGAGCATTAATAATAATAATAACAATAATAATAATAATCACTTCACCGTTAAATGTACCGGCTTTGAGTTTTATAAATATCATCAAATCTTCCATGAAACTATTATATAATTCTTTTTCCTTAGAACGTACGTTACGTCCTTCCATACCTCATAAATAATAGACTATTCCATTTTGATCACAAGAAAAAACATATTAGAGGTGCTGTTTGGTTTCAGTGAGAAAAAGAGAGAAAGATAGTGGAGGTGATAATGCTCTCATATGTTTAACATCTTCTTCAGTGAAATGAAACACCTTGTCAATTTTAAATCTTTACACTTTTCCCTCTTTAAATATTGCCCTGCATTCATATTTATGATTGTTATTGCAATATTTCGTTAAAGTTGTCATGCTAAAATATTTAACAATGCAATATAGAATTTCCCCGGATATTTTGTAGTCTTGGGACCGGCACTGAGATTATTTATTCATTAAATATCGTGATACAAGAGAAAATTAAAAGAGGAAAACCCTGAAATGTTCATCAATATAGCTAATATGAATTAATGCTAATTGGCAGCTGATTTCAAAAGTTTTCTAAACTCTGGAATGGCTTATTAATTAAAATACCCCCAAAACAAAACTGCTCTCTATTAATCATCAGAGAGACCCCTTTCTGCCTTCCATCATCATGGCTGATGCTAACCTCCAAAAGAATGACTCGTTGTGCCTTCTCGGGTTAACATGAAGCTGAAAGATTATTTTGAATCAATTGCTAAGCCTGCTGCTAGGAAAGTTAGTTCCTTGTGTCATGCTAGACAATTTTTCTCTCCAAAATCTATATTACATTTTTACAAGCCTACCATTCGTACATGCTTCGAATATTGCTGCCATATATTGTCTGATGATCCTGCTATATATTTAGATATTCTTGATAAAATCTAAGCAAGAATCCGCAGTGTTATTGGTCATAACCTGACATCTCAGCTTCAATCAATTTCCCGATGCCGTAATGTAGCTTCGCTGTGCCTTTTCTATAAATACTTTCATGGTAATTGTTCTAATGAACTTTCCTCTTTGGTATTTAGACTTCATGAATTTAAGCACAATACTAGATTGGTGACAAAGTCTCATCATTTTACAGTTTACATGAATTCTTTGTTAACAATTTCATTTCCAGCCAACATTGCATTTAAATTATTGAAGATCAATGTCAATCGTTATGTTTTGTCTTCATGATTCCTCTTCTTTTCCAGCTCCTTAATAATGTTTTTACTTTTTCTTATTCTTTCACACTCTTGCGTCTTAGTAGCTTTATTGCCTTGATTGGGGTGAAACGATTAAAAAGAATTCCACAACTTCAGGTAATGGAGAAAATTGGTTGTACCATCCAAAGAACCCCACTGTAAATAAGTGGATTTTGTCGTGAAGGTAATGGCGACTGCGGTAAGTTTCATCTTTACTCGGCCTCCCGACATAATTGTGGTCTTTACCTAATACCGTGGAGAAACAGTTAACACATGTTATTAAGGTATTCGATTCATCACCGTGTGTCCAAAAGTTGTGACCTTATGTCATACTAAGTTCAATTTTATCAATATAAGTGTAAATCAGAATTACCTAGCTCAACCCTTACTAATTTCAGAAAATAAGTCTTTTTTTTTAATAAGAGCGTATAAGAACGTATAAAGTGTTGGCGGAGTTGGTAATGGCTGCTTCAGTTGCTGCTACGCAGTAACTACTTATTTAAGACGTTGAATACTGAGAAAGACATTATTCGGATTATTTTGCAAATGGATCCAGAATGCCAAGCTAACAAAGTCATGGAGTTTTGTTTTAAAAAGACTGACTTCTAAAAAGTTCAGAAGTCATCCAAGACACACCGTAGTCACAACGCTGAACCGAGACATTCAAAGAACACGGCAGAAAGATTCTACTTTTTCCATGAGAGAAGTTTACAATCAAGGAAGATCTCCAACAAATCCAAAAACTCACAGAGGACAGAGAAGACTGGCAAAATATTGTCGAATCAGTAGACAATGTCAATGAAAATGAGAGAGAACATGTTAATTCATGACCTCAAATAGAAACAGTTTTGATGATGATAAACCTTGCAGGCAATGTTTACCTTTATTTATCATTCCAAGATTTCTTTAACGATATCCATTTCCCCCGTTCCCATGCCAAAAATGTAACACGTAGTCATTTTGAGAGATAGGCTGGGTTTAAACACCTGATACGGCAGATAACACAATGTCGTATTTTTATGATAGGTTATTCAGAAATGGTACACATTCTTCGAACATAACTTGTACTACAAACATCCACCTGTACATCGATGTTTGAAAGGATTAGACCATCTGTCTGTAATACAGCTCACGAAAAAAACATACGAATGTCAACAAACAGAATGGCTTCAGAATGCACAGCTAACAAAGCCATGGAGTTTTACTTTAAAAAGACTGATTTCAAAATTTTCAGAAGTCATCCAAGACCCACCATAGTTACAACGCTGAACCAAGACATTTAAAGAACAAAGCAGAAAGATCCCACTTTTTCCTTTAGAGAAGTTTACAATCAAGGAAGATCTCCAACAAATCCGAAAGCTCATAGAGGACAAAGAAAGCTGGTAAAATATTGTCCAATTAGTAGACAATGTCACTGAAGATGAGAAAACTTTCATGACCTCAAATCGAAACAGTTTTGATGATGATAAACCTAACAAGCAATGTTTACCTTTATTTATCATTCCAAGTTGTCATTCCAAGATTTCTTTAACGATATCCATTTCCCCCATTCCCATGGCAAAAATGTAACACGTAGTCATTTTGAGAGATAGGCTGGGTCTAAACACCTGATACGGCAGATAACACAATGTCGCAGTTTCATGATAGATTATTCAGAAATGGTACACCTCGAACGTATTTACTACAGACATCCACCTGATTTTTTTAAAAATCATTTTAAGGCAATAAGGTCGCTAGATGCAAGGGGTTACTGAGTATGAGAAAAAAAACACTATTAAAGAGAGAGAACAATAAAAGAACAAGAATTAAGAAGATAGAGTTTAATTATTAACATTGCATTTAGATTTTTGAAGATCAAAGTGAATAGGAAAGCAAGAAGCCGGAAGAGATTTCCACAAGTGAAAAGTTTGAGAAAATAAGCGGTTAGCATAGGACTTACGGTTACATCTACCCGTTTCAACAATAAGATGATGAGACCTTTCCGCCAATCTAGTACTGCGCTTAAATTCATGAAACATGTTACCATAGAGGAAATTTCATCAGAACAATAAAGTAGAATAGTGAATGTTGTCTGGACAAGGAATCACTGCACCCCCCCCCCAGTCTTCAATTAATTTCTGGCTTTGTGCACTGAAAATGTATGTTTGTGTTCTGTGCGTAAGCTGAGTGCATATGTACACTGACAGAAAATAAAATTGCAACATTCTAAAAATATGTCTCAATTTACTTGGGATTAAGGATACAGTTAAATAATTGAAGGTTAAATTGGATTAAATTTGTTAAAATAAGAAATAAGTGAGAAAAGCCATTATAAATTTTACATGCTTCGCTATTTATTTAGCTTCACCAGAAACACGTAAAATTTATAAAGGCTTTTCTAGTTACACCTTATTTAATCAATCATACAGGTAATCTATGTGGTTTACGGCAAAAGATTGTATATATGGATCAATATTCATACAGGTTCGAAAATATCACTGACCTGTTGGAGAAATGGCAGCAAAACGGATATGAACAATGTCTTGGACATACATGGCGTTTTTCGTTCTACAAAGATTTTGGATTTAGCTGTTCCGGCAGACTACTGTATAAATCTCCAAGAAGGAATAGATAGGTTTGCCTATCAACCAGTTAACAGCAACCAACTTATCTTTTGAACAGGAGTGGAGGTTTATCCCTTGTTTCCTATTTAGCATTGTGTTTCCGGTTTCGTC